TTCGTCTATCTGGATCATCCTATGAAAACCCGTTTTGGACTTTTAACTGACGGACTTTAGAAGAAAAATCTGTTTGCTTGTAATGACAGGTTTAGCTAATTTTGAGGGTAATTAAAAAACGCTAGCCAGTGCATGACTAGCAAACACAGCTTTGAACTATTGTGCACACATAAAACCATAATATTTTTGATTAAATACAAAAATGTTCACATAATTGCAGAAAATAATGTTTTGGTAGTGACAATTCTTACTGTTCCACACTGATTTTCAGACTTTGGGACACATTTACTTCAAAACAGTGGGATCTAACTGCTCACCATGTGGCCACGAGGGACAGGGATGCAGTCTCACTTCCTGCTCTAGAATGCAGGTGTGTGGCTAAAATAATGCTCCACCCGTTTACAAAGACTCTTTGTGTTTCAGTAGTGACATGAAAACGTGGGACAGCATTTTTTATTTAAACATTAAACTCATAACAAATCTAAATAAAAATAACAAGATTAATTAATTTTGTAATTTTGTACAGTACTATATATACGAGGTGCAACTGAATTAATTTAGAATTTAAAAAAGCAATTCGTCTGGGCAGTAAACATTTATTTGCTTAGGAAAATGCAAATATTGAAATAAATAGAAACAGCAGAATTATTATTGATTTAATGTATGACAATGTTTTCGTTTTATCATTTCGAAACCTCCTCATGGCAGACCGGTAACGCTGGTAGTCACTGTCCAACACCTAGTTTGGCTAATCAGTTCTCCATTATGTTAAATTAGGAGTTCTGCTGATGAAATTGAACAGATCCAAATCTGTGATGATTTGGGCTTTGAGGAGAAATCTAGAACTTTGTTCCACAAACTGGTTCCGAAGTTATCAGCTACTTCTTTTTCAAATAAGAAAATCATGTTACTGTATTTATGTTTATTTACACTTATTCTAATGGCATATGGTATTTTTACTGGCAATATTTTAATGGACATACAACCGTTTACTGGTGGCCAGAGTAACTTTATTTGCTATGATCTCAGCTACTTGCTGTGCTGCAGAACCCAATGTTTACAGTGAATTTTATACACATGCACAATAATTATGCCCAGACTTACACAACTGCTTCGTTGTTGCTTTAAAATAAATGCAATAATTGATATCCTCTCTATCATTAGCAGACCCAGGCCTTTCTATAGAGAATGTGTTTTTATTTTATATGTTATTTCAGACACATATAGGGTGCCTGCTGTAAAGCAAATGCCCGGCCTGATTTTCTCCCCGCTCTGCCTGTGGTGTAGACTCTAGAGTGCTGAAAGATTGATATTGATTCTTTAAGAGTGTAAGTTCTTTATTGTCCTGTAATATTGGGAACAATCCTTTTAGAGTGCAGGTTCTTTATTGTCTGTTGTAATGCTGGGTTTGATGCTTTTAGAGTGTGGACTCTTTATTGTCAGTTGTAATATTGGGAACCGAGGCTGTAGGAGTGATTTGGAAGCTAGGAGGAACATTTTAATGCTGGGGGACTGAGGTTTACTCGAAATTCAAAATAAACAGTCTGAGTCCTGCGTGAGATTTATGTTGTGTATTAATCATAGCACCAGTTTAATAACAGAAACACAGTTTTGTTATGTGGGAGATTAGGCAGCTACTTAAATAAATACTGTTTCTGCGCGATGTGAGGGATGCTGTGATGTGACTGCAACAGTTACACGTTGGCCATTCATGCATACAGTGTCTGTACTAGAAAACACTGCTGCAGTCTTTAACTGCTTTTAACCAACTTCTACAAATGTCCATTTTACAAATGGATAAATAATCAAGTCATTTATTTTATTTAGCTTATTGAAGACATTAATCATAAAAGACCATGTTGCATTTGGCAGTTTTCTGGTGTGCGATTGGGCAGTCATCTCAAGACCACAGAGGTACAAGACAATGTGGTATTTTTGTTTGATAATGGTCGTGAATTAAAGAATTTTTATTCAATGTGACATTTTTTTTTTGGGTAAAGGGGTCGTGACCCCAGGAACAGTTTTAGTTCCAGAGAATTTTTACTTCATCCTATCCAGTTTGGACACATTAAGCACTGTATTTGAACTTTTGTGTAGACAAGCAACAGGTAAAACTACATATATTGAAAAGGTGGACTCTCTTATGTCCATGCTGGGGGCATTGCTTTAAAGGACTCATTTCCTACAATTGGCTTTGTATTTCGTTGTTTTCACTGAGGTCGTTATTATGGTTTTGTGGCTTTAAAAACCGTCATAATTCGTACACACTGGCCACTCATACATACAGCAGTAGCAATGTGGATCCTTTTTCCAAATGGATAAATAGTCATATCAGTCACTCTGCTCAAAAAGAAATACTTGTAAAAGTGTACATTTGTTTACCCTCAACAGCATTTTGACTTGACCGGACAGTGGCTTCAAGCCTCGTAGACTTACTGGGAGATCTGCATGCGGCACATAATGTTTAACCCCTTAAAAGGCCATGAGGCTATCAAAGGGCTTAAAGTTTAATTACACACTTCTATGACTTATGAATAGCTCAACGAGTTTGCACTGAAGTCCCTGTAGGTACTGAATAATAAACCTTAGTATTTTATAAGACTGGAATTTTGAGGGGTTCACTAGTATTTCACATTTTATGTATTAACTGTTCATATATTAACTTAAAGAATTTGCCTGAGCTGGACCAACACCGGTGGCGTGGTGGGTAGTGCTGTCACCTAACAGCAAGAAGGGCCTGGTTTCGATTCCCCGGCTGGGCGACCAGGGTCCTTTCTGTGTGGGGTTTGCATATTCTCCCCATGTCTGCGTCGGTTTCCTCCCTCAGTCCAAAGACATGCAGTCAGGCCAGTTGGACATGCTGAATTGCCCCTAGGTGTGAGTGAACGTGTGTGTCTGTCTTTATACTAACAATGTTTGCCTACCGGTAGACCAGAGGAAGATGGGTTCCCCTTCTGAGTCTTGGTTCCAAGTTTTCTTCTTCCTGTTTCTCTTAGGGAATTTTTCCTTGCCACTGTCGCCTCTGACTTGCTCATGGTTGCTTGGACCTTTCTATAATGCTGATTTTTCTGTAAAGCTGCTTTGTGACAACACCTGTTGTGAAAAGCACTATATAAATAAGCTTTGCTTGCTTGCTTGCTTGCTGTCTGCCCTGTGGTGAACTGGCGACCTGTCCAAGGTGTGTCCTGCCTTCCGACCAATGGCGGCTGGGAGAAGCGGCTTAGAAGGTGTGTGTGTGTGTGTGTGTGTGGACCAACACCTTCTAGGACCAGAATTGGACGACCCTTATCTAGACTGTGCGTTCTAAGGCCCAATCCTATTTCTTATTTTTACCCCTACCCCTTGTTTTTGAGTGTCACCCTAACCCCTTGGAACTGAGTTGAAGACTTCCTCTACGAAACGGGACCCTCACATAAAGAAGATCATTACTTCATTAACAGGCTACTAGTGGTGCTCTGTAGGCGACCCTGCCAGTCTGCAGTGATAGCAGAGGAGGGTAAAGTTCAGCTCCCCACTGTTGGGCTTTAGTTACAATTAGGCAGTCATATGCCTTCAAAGAGGGGGGACAATTATTTATTATCGCCCACCCCTAATTCTTCAGTGATATGAAGATGAAGCCAGCTCTTCACCAGGTTCTCGTTTGAATTTTACTGTTCCACTTTAAATTGAGCAGCAGTCACATTCTGGCACTGCAGGCGTCAGAACTGCTGGACTATTTAAGGTGGAATGGGAAATTTAGCTAGCTAGCTACCGAGACATTACCATTTTTTAATGCTTGTTATGAAGAAAAGGACCATAATACATTGAAACATCATTAAACTAAGGTAAAACAATGTTTATCGTATTTTTTAACGGAGAAAATTCTCACATTTGTGGGTTTCATTGTTCGCTTGCACAGCCATCTTGTTTTTCTTTTTTCTCATAACACTCCTTTTGGAGTGTGCCTCTGAAAAACTTAAAGCTCATGTAGCCCTAACACTTTGCCCTTCCCCTCTATCGCTACAAAAATCGGGACGCCCTACTCCTAGACGTGATCGCGCAAAACGGAGGGCTAAGGGCTAAGTGGTAGGGGTGAGGGGTGAAATGGGATTGGGCCTAAGTTTCACTGAGGCTGGGGTTTTAGAGCAGACTGTGGCTGCGTTTGCGGCCGATGTTGTTGTTAATGTCACCGCAGTGCGGTGTGGGCATTTAACTTTCTTGCTGGACGTTCCACTTCATATAAGGCTGAGTCTCTGGGCAGCTCCCCAGGTCACACCGTCTGCTCACCACCGCACTGTGAGGGGACGACCACCCAGCTAATAAACACACAGCACGGCGGGCAGATGGGAAAGCAGCAATCACTGGCCTTCACCCAGACACCAATAAAAAGCCAAATAGCAGTGAGTGATGTGATTTATTGGAGTAAACAGTCCTCCGGTGCAGTGAGGAGCGCGTGGGTGAATTTAGATTAGAATGTAATAAAAGTGCTCAGGCCAGACTCCTTCACTCCTCACGCCTCACTCCTTCACTCTGTCACCTTTCATAAGTGTTCAAACACTGCAGCCCTGACTGACTCGAACACAAACTTTCAGCAAGACACTGAGAGACGATGTGGACAGAGGATCTTCATTCACTCAGTCTGTGACTCAACTGACTGACATCCTGTCTTCTGTTCATTTTCTTTCTGCTGTTTTCTTTCTTTCTTTCTTTCTTTCTTTCTTCTTTTTGTCTTTTTCTTTCCTTCTTTTTCTGTCTTTCTCTGTTCTTTCTGTCATTATTTCTTTCTTTTTAATTCTTTATTTGTCTTTCTTTGTAAATCAACCTTTCTTTCTTTCTTTCGTTTGCTTTCTTTATTTCTTACTTTTTTATTTTACTTTCTTTTAATTATTTGTTCTTTTTTATTAATTTGTGTTTCTTTTTAAAACCTCTTTCTTTCTTTCTTTCTTTCTTTCTTTCCTTCCATTTATTCTCTCTCTCTCTCTCTCTCTCTCTCTCTCTCTCTCTCTCTCTCTCTCCTCTAGATGAGCTGAGGGAGAATCTGCAGAGGTTTGTAGAGGAGACTAATCAGCGCCATCCTGACTTCATTAAGGTGGTCCGCCACACCAGGCAGGAAGGCCTAATCCGGGCCCGTGTGAGTGGCTGGAGGGCTGCATCCGCACCTGTAGTGGCCCTATTTGATGCCCATGTGGAGTTTAACGTGGGGTGGTGAGTAGAGATATTTTATTTTCCATGCAGATCTACAGGCCAGTGATTTTAAAAGTTTCAAAAATATTTTTCACTTCATTCAATTGGACAACAACCAGTATACCACATATTAACTGACTGTATTGTAACTGAAGACGTTTTTTTTTCTGGAATACTTCATTACTAGACTCTCACTGTAGCGTATTCAGTGGGAAAAGGCTTCACCCTGTTCATTGATAACAGCCCCAGGTGAACCTGAATGAGCGTAAATTTAGACTTTAGCATGTCAGCTGCGGTTTTTATTGATCAATATCTCTGTTCTGCTTTGTAGGCTTCTTATTCATAAAACAGATAATAAATATGACTAAGTTCTCTTTAGAGAGAGAGAAACTCACAGTTTATCGTGTCACCCGCTCCTGTCTGTAGCTGTCCCAGCTGAGTAATTCGATTGCCTTCAATATTCTAATTAAGGTTGCGTTCCTCCGTCAGTTGATATTGGACTGTAATTGAGCCCAACAAGGACATGTAGTGGTTTTCACCCCCTCCTCTGTACACACTGAGGCTCCATCATCTGACGTTAGAACCCAAATGCTTTGCTGTCTCTTGGGATTACTGCGTGAGGCTCAGCTGTCATCCCTCCTAAAGAGTTTATGTACTTGTTAATTATTTCCCCCTCAACCTGTCAGTGAGATGATAAATACCTCAGAAGGCTTTGGATGGATTCCAAAATGACTCAGCTCCTGAGCTGATGAGGAGAAAGCTGGTGTATTAAATAAGCTTGGAGCGTTTAAATGTGCTTCAACGTCAGTGTCCCTCTCTAAAACTGTGTGGTCAGATTTTGGTACTTAACATTTCAGACCTACATTAAAGGGCCTGTCAAAACGGCCTTAATCTCTTTATGCTTTTAGGTAAAGGGTCCTGTGACAGTTTAGTATAAGCTGTCAAATTAAGAACAGCGTTGGTCATTTCAGTTGCACTTTTATTTTTCCCTGAAATTGACTTGGATTGGATCATGTTGGAAGAAGCTGATGTCAGGTGGTTCCTTGTACCAATCAGAATTAGATTAGATTTTTAGTGAATTATTAATTGCCACACCCCACACACCCACCCACAAACCATTACAGCTGTTTGAATTCTGCTTCTACTTTATTGGAGTGAAAACCTGCAGCCACATCATCCTTTCATGGATAAGAATGGACACCCTTGGTCAACATGGTTGGTGGGGGATCTTCTAGCCAGCGAGGATTAAGGCTGCATTCAGACAGCAGAGCGTATTCTGCCCAAAACAGCATTGTATGCTACGGCAGGATGCAGATTCCATTTGTTCCACTGTGCATTGTGGATTTTTGCACCGCAGATCCTCAACCAACTTAAAAAAAAGTTTAAGTGGAAACACTCCACTCATCATGAGTCATTTTTCACAAGGTGACCAATCAAAAAAGTCAGATAAAATTAAACCAGAGAGTGAGCGCAGGGCTGTACAGTAGAAGTTTTGCTGCGTAATAGTAATATAAATATTTAGTTCAAAATATTAATTCACTGGCATATGATAACAATCCTCTACACTGATATCACAGAGGTTTGCTCGGTTTGAGAAACTGACGATGAGTACCCCTCACCACCGTAGCTTGGTGAGTAGTTTAATGTATAAACACAATATTGTGTCACTTTAATTGATTGTAACAATCAAGGCACTTGCTTACGTTGCTAGTGTTTAAATGGGCTGAGCAGAAGTGTAGAAGTCAGAGGAAGCCAGTTCCTGCATTAAGCCTGAATTCTCTTTAGTTGAGCCTGACTTAATACCAGTGAGTGTTTTAGCTAGTATTATTAGTAGGAATGCAGCATTATAGGAATTGTGGCTACACAGTTGGGTTAGTAGGACACCAACTCTTCAACCTTTTGCTCTTATAGATTACAATAAATACATCATATATCAGTTTGAGATAGCAGGAAAATGTAAATATCTGTAAATATCAGAGCGTACTTTCAGAAAGATCAGCACAATTTCAGACAAGTGGAGAGCATGTTGTTGATAGACCGTCTGCTATCACTGGATGCCTGATGCTGCCAGACAAAGAGTGCAAGTGAATTCATTTCTATCTGCATACGCTAACAGGGTTTGCCTGATGTGTTAGCCAAATTCCTGCTTACAGTTGTTACGACCCGGTCTAGGTCAGGCCGTAAGAATATGAATATAGTGGGTATTAAACATGATGTGGGTGAGGAGACGACACACCAGACATAAATATTAAGCTCAAAGACTGTATTATATGATTGATATGAATACAAACAGTGATATGAGTTCACACGCCGGCAACAACGTCAGGAATGGCCCAGGCCAAAACAACAAACAACCCCACACTAACTTTCCAACACAAACTACCTACCCTACATACAAACAAAAGAAACAGAAGACAGTATGCTAACCTACCTCCCTGACTAACCATACACACAGACAAACCCTTTCCCAAACAAAATGGCAGCCACTCCCTACAGCCGGTTCACATTTACTATTTACAAATATATATAAGATATATACAGTTTTAGGGTCAGGCTAAATCGTAGTCAAAACAAAGCAGTGGTCAGTAACAAGCAAGGACTCAAGGGTAACGAAATGCACACAAAAACAACAGCAACACAACGAGGAAGTCTCCTGTTCAACCAAGCCATCCGGGTCTCTTTAAGCAGGTAGGAGGAGAGGAAACCATGGAATGGAATGGATCAGCAGGGTCCGGGAGCGGAAAGGGTGAAGTCACGGGATGAAATCTGGAATGAATACAAAACACACAAGACCAGGCAAAAACACAAGGCATAACACAGTAGTCACTTACATGTCACTCCAGGTTGAACTCAACTTTACCTTCATTATCCAGTGTCTCATAGAATCAAATTCAGACTCCTGCCAGAAAATAAAAGCTGGAGGTTGCTTACGTTGCCCTACCACAGTCAGGCGGTTTTCCAGCTTTTAACTCCATTTGAATCTGATTGATATCAAATCTGACTTTAGTTTAATTCTCACTTTCTGCTATTGCATACCTTTTGCACGATCATGTCAGTTTTAATAATCATAATAAAAGTATAATAATAATGATCTTTACTTATATAGCACTTTTCATGCTGGTGGCAGCTCAAAGTGCTTTACAGACAGGTGATGAAACTTAACAGTAATGCAAGAAATTCTGAGTACTAATTTTACAATCATACAAGAAAATGCCAAAGATCAAATTAAAAACACAAATACCGAGAGATGTACAGTTTTAATTAAACGCTAAGTTAAAGAGATACGTTTTTAAGTGTCTCTTAAAAGTGTGCGCTGAGCTTGACTGGAGTGATGTCAAGCTTTAGTGAAATTAACCTCACATGTTATAGCTAAATCTATAGATTCAGCACAACATCAACTAATGAGAGATCATCTCAAACCAGGGGTCTCAATTTACTGGCATGAGGGCCACATTCGCCACACAAGACAGCTTTATACGGCCCCTCACATGTTTCAGATTCGTCCTTAAATATCTGCAAATCAGTTTTTATGTATTTACATAGCTTTCTTACAGGCTGCTGAAACAGGAACCCACATTTTCTTTTTTTTTTCACTTGACTGATTACATGCCTGTAACCTGGCAACAGGCCCAGATACAACAAACAACAAAAAATAACCTATTTGCAGTACATCTACAAAAAAAGACTGGACATGCACATCTGCTGGCCTGCCTTTGACAGCAAATGCTAGTCTGTCCTTGTAACATTGTACTCGTAAAGACAGGATGCTGAGTTTCTTTTATTAAGTCCCTCCTCAGGGTCATTTGCCCTTAGCAGGGGGACATGCTGAGTAGGGACAATACACATTGAAAACTCATACTCACAAAAGATTGACTGAGAGTAGATATACTGCAAGCCGGAAAACTGGACTTATGAAAAAAAGAGTTTTCCACAAGCAACTAAAATCAAGAGGAAGTATTTCTATGAAACGCAGCCAACCAACACAGGTGATTGCCATATGTCAAAGACAATCAGTGATGATGTAGAGGTGGAGCTGGGCCAGAATAGAGCAGGCAAAACAGACATGGACTGGAGCTGACCTGGAGCAGAGCCATGGTGGAGAGCAGCCATGACAGGTCAGATGTGATGGTCCTTGACAAAATGTCTGTTTCAGTCTTTTTAAAAAGAGGAATACTAAGACATGCTTAAATGACGAGGTATCCCCCAGTTTGAGATCCCTGCCTTATATTTTATTATTGTTAATTTTATTATTTGATGGTACTGTACAACAAAGATTTGTTCATTGCTGTCATTGTACAGTAGTTTCAGGTTTTGAATTTGTCATTTGCACAACATGTCAGGACATTTGTGCATTGAAATGCTTGTGGTGAGGGACAGTAGGTATGTAAAGTAATGTGCTTGACCTAGTTCTTCCCAAATAGATAAACATTTAAGGTTATTTAACAGTTTCAACTTTTGGTATATCTATACAATCAAACTCACTACATTCAAAGTGCATGTAAATTTGAGCATAATAGTTGAACAGTCTACAAAGGTGCTTGATTTACTGGTAACTAACCAAAAGCATTATCAATTTTATCTTTAATTCTAATAGTAGAATAAAAATTGAAAATAACTTTGGGTCTCATTCATCAGTATCTTCCTAAGTTTTCTCCTAAATTAGTTCTTGAGAAAAGTCTACATCAGATTCATGACGTGTTCTTAAACTGCAGAATTGTTCGTTCCTTTGTGCTCTTGAGTGTGTGTTGATTCTCTTCTTACCTAAGAACAAATCCCAAATAAGGAAACATTGGTCAATGTCAAAACTGCGTACGTGGGTTTAAAAGAGATTTCTTCTTGCTGTGTGATATGATATGTAAATGATGTATGTAAACTGTTAGGCTGTTGCTTGAATTCACGCACTGAAGCTGATTCATCATTCCTGCTTGTTTTCACATCGCATGAAAGCTTCATGAATCAGACGCAGATCAGTTTGTACATAATTAAAGGCAGTCAAATCTGCACTCTTTTTTTCCTGACCTTGATGAATTAGGACCAGTGTGTCCATCAACCAGAAATATCCAGATGACAGCTATGTATCAAAAATGTAATGGTTTATTTTTCTAAGGCCTTTTTGCCACATCTCTTTATCCCTCAGAATTAAACAGGCTGTTTGCCTTTAAGAATGGTGTACGCAAATCAACTCTGTTCTGATAGGCTGTCTTCTGTTGTGCCTCATTCAAAAAGCCGTGAGGGCTGAAACACTCCTTGTAAGTTCAGTGTGTGTGGGTGGAGCTAAATACTGCTGGTACATATATCTAAATGTTTTTGGTGACATCACAAAAACAAGGAATTCAAAATGGGTTCTTTTTGTATAATTTCCATATTAGGACTTTATGGATTGGGGAGCGAGTGGAATGTTTTGAAACAACAGTGTTTACATATTACATTAAACTCCTTTATTTCAAAAAAGTGAAGAAATACTGTTTTCAGTGATATAAGCCCTTTAAATCATGCCATATTTGTGTGTTGTTATGCTGTGGAAATTGTGTTATATTAATTTTAAAATTATGCAGCAACTCAGTGACTTGTTTGTGTGTGTTGGTGTTTAAAAGGGCTGAGCCGATCCTGCACAGGATCCAGGAAGACCGGACGCGGGTCATCTCGCCTTCCTTCGACAACATCAAATTCGACACGTTTGAGGTGGAGGAGTATCCTCTGTCAGCGCAGGGATTTGACTGGGAGCTGTGGTGTCGATACCTGAACCCACCTAAATCCTGGTGGACCCAGAAGAATCACACTGCACCCATCAGGTGGGACGGCAACACCACCAGCAGAGCTAAAGTAGAAAGCAAAAACTAACCTACTACATATACAGTTTAGGCCTTGGCTGGCAAGGCAACAAAAACAGTCCTAAAAAAGAATGTGATATTTCAGAAATGAAGAGTTGATGGAAGCAAAATTATCAGCCAATGTGATAATTTCACTTTAAATAAGTATAAAATATGTAGGTTCGGTGAGCTTCCGTGCAGAGCGCTAGGTGAGATAATTAATCTCTTGAGAAAAACTATTGGATTCGTGCCTGTGATTCAAAATAGTTACTCTCTTTCTACGCTGAAAAAAGTAATGAGTTGAGTTTACTTGCTTTTGGCTGTTTATTCATGTGGAAATGATGTAGATGTTTGAATCAGGTCATTTCAGATCATTCCTGTTTTTCACTGAATATCCTGGGAGCTTGTCCTTGAATTTGGTTGCTATAGTTTTGCATTCAGTAAATCTGCGGCAAATTTCACTCCGTTATTTTTGTTTGATTCAAAAACATACACTCACTGGAACCATTTTCTGTAGCTCGGCCTTGCTTAGTGTATAGATGCAGCCCATCCTTTGATATACAATTAGCCATCCTCCAGTCCTTCATTAAAGATCAATTTCTGATAACAGAGTTGCTCATGGTTGGATGTTTTTGGGTGGTGGGCCTCTCTCATCTAGGTCTGCATGATGAATGATATTTTTTTCATTATCACAATATGAGTTTGTATGATTAACACATCGTTAAAGGCTTAATAGATCGATGTGACTTCAAATACAAACAGATGTGCACAGCTGAAACATCATTCTGTCCTGATCTACTAACCTGTAAAAATACTTCAAATGTGATGTCTGTTCTCTCCCAAAGAAGGAAAGTGTGTAAAACGCGTGAAGCAGTAATCGCTATGGCCACAACAAACCTGCGTCACCATAAGCAGCTTTAAAAGGAATTAAATGTATATATATATATATATATCTTTATTGCATTTCAGTGAGTGGAAGTAAACGTTTCCGATAAAGTGGCCAGTGAGTGGAAGTAAAAGTTGTTGTTTCTGGTAAAGTGGCCAGTGAGTGGACATAAGTTTGGTGTTTCCGATAAAGTGGCCAGTGAGTAGAGGTAAAAGTTAGTGTTTCTGATAAAGTGGCCACTGGGTGGATATAAAAGTTGGTGTTGCTAATGAAGTGGTAAAGTGGTCAATGAGTAGAAATAAAAAGTAGGTGATTCTGATAAAGTGGTCAGTGAGTGAACATAAAATTGGTGTTTCTGATGAAGTGGCCAGAGAGGAGGAAAAAAATGGTGTTTCTGATAAAGTGGCCAAGGTAGTGATGATGATAAAGTGCTCAGTGAGTGGACATAAAAGTTGTTGTTTCTAATAAAGTGGCCAGTGAGTGGAAGTAAACAGTAAGTGTTTCTGATAAAGGGGTCAGTATGCGGAAGTAAAGAGTAGGTGTTTCTGATAAAGTGGTCAAGGAGGTGTTTCTGATAAAGTGGTCAGTGAGTGGACATAAAAGTTGTTGTTTCTAATCAAGTGGCCAGTGAGTGGAAGTAAAAAGTAGGTGTTTCTGATAAAGTGGTCAGTGTGTGAAAGTAAAGGGTTGTTGTTTCTGATAAAGTGATCAGTGTGTGGACATAAAAGTTGTGTTTCTTATAAAGTGGTCAGCGTGTGGAAGTAAAAAGTAGGTGTTTGTAATAAAGTGGACAGTTTATGCAGTATCAGTGTCAGTGTTGACACTCAGCAGTTTGAGAGATTAGTTCTTCTTAGTGATGTTTGAATGAGAAAACTGAGCCATTACTCAGAGAGACGTTCAGAAGTGCTGTAATTGAGTTTGGATGAAAACGTGCCTCAGGAAGTCTGAGTGCTCTTTGTTTTTGTTGTACCTGTGCATTATTAATGAAGCCGGTCCAGCACTCTTCCTGTGTTGTAACTCGTAGATGTCATAGACACAGCATGTACCTGAAGTTCACCCGAGGAAAAGCTGATGAATCATCGTCTGCTTGTCTTCCTGCTTTTAACAGGAGCCCAGCCCTGATTGGCTGCTTTGTGGTGGACCGAGAGTACTTCCAGGAGATTGGTCTGCTGGATGAAGGCATGGAAGTCTATGGAGGAGAGAACGTGGAGCTGGGAATCAGGGTAGAAAATGCTTACCTTTGCATATCATCACCATAATACTAGAAAACGCATTTTTATTTTTGTTATTCTAATTGAAAAAGATCAGCTTCTCCTTGCTTTGTGTGAACATTGCATGATCAGTGGATCAGTAGAAATGGTCCAGATATACTTGGAATAAGAATTACAATAAAATACATCAAAGGGTATCACTTTACTGAAGGGCAGTATTCATAACAATACACAACACCTACGTAAGCCTTTCAGAACAACTGACATAAACCTATACTGCCATTTATAAAAGCTTATTCCAACAAGGTGGCAGGTAAAATGACATCAAAGTGAAAAATGTAGCCTCTATACTAACTTCTGCTTGTTGGAGTAGGATTTTCTAGAAGTTTAGTTTATGTAGGTTTATGCTAATTGTCATAAAAGGCTTTTGTAGGTATGTAGATAAGTTACTATTTCAGAAATGCAAAGTTTTATTTCTGACAGTGACAAAATCTAGAAGGCACACAGAGTTGCATGTGTGTGAGGTGATGAAATCACACTGATGGTTTAGCAGTGAAGTGCGGATGCATATGGATGGGCTTGGGACACTGTGTAGCGCTCTTTGATTAAAGAGGATGAAAGTCAGACTCCTCTCTGCTACATCAGATGAGTCACACCTAGCTGTGTGTGTGTGTGTGCATGTGTGGGTTTGATTATTTGTTTTTGTATATTTGCAGGACAAAAATATCCCAACTTTGTGGGAAAATCAGAGAAAAACTAAGTTAAACAGCAGGGACCAACAAAATACTCCTGACTTTGTAAATTGCTTTTTTACAGAAGATCCATGTCTTGTTTTTAAAAACTGACAAAGCAAAACCCTTTCTTTAAACTGAGGTTAACAATAGGGTTGGAATTAGGCTTAGAAAATTCTTATTACATATAGATACTTAGATGGGACATGTTATTATTATTACATATAAGTACTTACATATATAGTAAAAATGAGTGTAAAATGTGTTTTAATGCTGGCAATCCCTTCCGCCACAAAACGTAGTACCCTTTTACTGTACAGGTGGAACCATAAAATATCAGGTTCAGCTCAACTTTTTCAATAATCAGTCAATCTTTGAAGTGATTCACAGCGCATGTTGTTTGCTGAAATGTATTCTGAAAATTTCTGTCCAAAATCAGCTGCCGTTAAAAAAGCTTAGTTAGTTCGGGATTTGATGTACACCTGCTGTCACACTGTCCTTTGAAATCTGACCAAATTCTGTGTCTGTTTTTATATGTGCTAAAGTAAAAGTGTAGTAACGATTAGCTGCAGTGTAAAGCGAGTCGGTGCTAAGCAGATACAAAGATTGTAAAAAAAACATTCCGTTATCAGAAAAAACAGCACAAGTAGAATACTTCTCAACCAATCAGGTTGTGGCTGTTGTATAATTACATATATGTAGTACATGTAGGACATGTCTAAGACACCTCACCCTGACAGTGTGTAAAAACAAACGTGTGTGTGTGTGTGTGTGTGTGTGTGTGTCCCTGCCTGAAGCACAACAGTGTTACAATATCAGACTGCAGCTCACTAACTTCAGCCTCCAGCACTTACATTCACAAGGAGCCACAACACGACTGTTTCACTGTGTCCTACTGACACCATAATTACCAAACACAGTCAGTATAGACTGCCAAAGATAACTCTTACACACACACACACACACACACACACACACACACACACAAAGACACACATCTTCATTGTGATTTAGCCCAAAGAATTGCCATCTGGTCACAGCAGGCTTTCACTGCTGTTCTGCCATTGTCTCCTTTGTGTAGTAGTTCCACAGATTGCTGTCCAGTAATGAGAGAGATTTTTCTGCAGCCTTTTTATAGTACAGTAAATGTTGGATTAACCCTTTCCTTCCTTAACAGTATACCTTTTATAAAGCCATACATTTTATTTACGTGATGTAATATCTTTATATTTAATTATGTAATTAACTAGTCAATTAACTAGTTAATTATGGATGAATTACATTAACATTTGACCAACATTCTGTATTGAATGTTTTGGTTCTGAGTCAGTTTTTCAAAAAAATGACAAAATGATGGGAAAAAAGTAAATGATGTTTTTTCTTGAATAAAAATTTTGTCCCTGGTAGCAGAACAACTGAGAAACTGACAACTCAATTACAACACACATTTACATAATATAAACAATATTGTCTGCACTTACAGTGTAATGGGTGAGCGATTTAGGAAAAATATCTAGTTGTGTTTTTTCTGACTAATATTGCGACTGCGATTAATATTGCAATTATTTTCTATAAATTAAGGCTCAGTTTTTTTTTTGCCAGGAAGACCAGAATATCAACTTTTTCTAGTTTGAAGTTTGACACCTGAATGTAGTGTGCCAGACTGCCAGTACGTTGTGGTTGTGATTTCACAACACATGGAGGTTTGGCTGCCTCTGATTGGTCTAACTCATCTACAGGCAGTTCACAAGCTCTGTGTTATTAGGTTAAATTTTCCCACTTAAATCTTAAGACAACGTTTTTGATAATATAGGCTATAATTAAAAAAAATGCAGCTCTTGCGATTTAAAAAATTGCGCTCTCTTAAATTGTGATTAGCTGACGTAACAGAATTGACGGTTGCCGTTCTCCTCCGAGTGCATTCAGTCCAATGACTTTGCATTAGCGGTCGTTTGAAAAGATGCGGTGGTGCTTCACAGGTCTCAGAGGAAGCCTGTGCTACCTTTCGCTTTCCTTGTGCTGGTGTTATCGTGTGATTGGGGGAGTCCTAACTAGTGACCAAATGTGGACTATATGACCAAAATGGGCAGAAAACTGGGAAAAATACAAGAAAAAAAGAATTTCTGGAATTGAACAGCTCTACTAACTACTGAACTAGAGAGCTCTCACTTATGTGTGGAGAGTGAAGAGAGGAAGAGGTGGTCTCTTTAGCAGTGGCAGGCTGTGTCTGTGTTAAGGGTTTTAGTGCAGTGAGAGTATAATGACCCTCAGCAGCTGTGCTTCCAGCTGTTTCTGCTGCCTTCATCTGAAGCTTCTCCACTTGGGGCTCTTTCCCGCTGTCCTGAAAGGAGACGTGCCTCTGACACCCTGCTTCCTCCTTATCTGATGCAGTCTAACGGAGGGCCGTTTGCTCCTGCCCCTGCAGTCTGGCCCAGGAGGCTTCGCTCTGTAGTGAAATCCCAGTAAAAATGAAAGCTGTTTTGCCGTAGAATACTAAAATAATAATAGAGCCTTACCGATGCTTTATTGGGCTTATCCTCTGGCATTTACCGCTGTCGGCTGCCGGCGTATGAAGGTTAGATTGGTAGCCGACTTTATAAAGACATGTTCATATCAGCATATCATCTCTGCCATATCCAAACCTCATAACTCTCTTTCATGTCAGTTTTTATTTTGTACACTATTTGGAAACATCAGCTGTCTTTACGCTGTGGGAACACTTCATGGTGAATGGATTAAGATCTTGTTACATCACTGAACATTAAAGTTAATTAAATATAGTTTGTCCTTCTCCTATTAAGTTACCATTTTGGAGATACAGGGTTTTGTTGTGGCATAATATATAAATGTATTCTGCCTGTATGTCCGCTGGCTGAGAGATCTCTGCAACGAATACCTATTTTTACCTGTTCTTAAACTAGTTATACAGTACCTGTCAAAAGGTCGGACACACAGTACTGTGCAAAACTCAGAGACCAAATTTCATTTATTTAATTTCCAGTCCAAACCGACAGTAAGTTATTTCTTTTTTTAAAGAGATATTTCTGAGGAGATTAGATATGTGATAATCCACTTGCATAAGGAAGGTGAAAGTCAAAGGAAAATAAGTAAAGGAAATCAGGAGTTTCCAAAACTGGAGTCTAATAAATGATTAAAAGCTACAGATAAACAGCACTTAAAGCTTTCATCTTTGAGAGAGAGGAGAAAATCAAGCTGCCTCAGGTCTGAAAACATCCACAGGTGTTTCTGTTCATCCCTCCACTGTGGGAAGACACTCAGCACTATGGGTCTGAAAGGATGTGAGCTTTTCCCTTTTTCCGTATCTTATTCTCATACTAATGGTCAAACCTTATTTTCTGCATGTATTGCTCTTCAGTTATTGTTTTGCTGTCGACCAGAGGAGGAGGGGTTTCCTTGGTTCCTCTCAAGCTTTTCTTCCTCTTGTTCTTAGGGAGTTTTTCCTTGCCGCTGTAACCATTGGTGACGCTCATGGGGGGTTTGGACCCGGATTTTTCTGTAAAGCTGCTTTGTGACAATGCCTGTAAATAAACTTTGACTTGGCTAACTTTGATGTATAGCTGTCAAGAAGGCCTGAGATTGAGAAAAGGAAACAGACACAAAAGAAGAACATCTACAAACCAAACAGAGAAAGCTACTGGTGTTCTCAGAACAATGAACTGACCACCCCAGACCTCCACCCTCCAGACCTCAACATTATTGGATGTGTTTGGGATTGCTTGGATTATGAGAAGCTGAAAATGCAACCGACTTCCAAGACTGAACTTTGGAGGTGTAGATTTCTTTGATAAACCGAAAGCAAGTCTTTGAAAAGAATGGAAGCTGTAATAAAGCAAAGGGTGAAAACACTAAATGCTAAAAAAATCTTGTGTTGTATTTAGTTCTTGAGACCTCCATGTAATTCTATGCAAAATATATGTTTACTGCTTTTTTCATGATGCTGAAAAATGAATATGTTGTACTTAATGGCAGTTTTGACTGGAAACCTTTGGACTTTTGCACAGTGCTGTACTTACTCATGAAGGGTTTTACAACATTTTGCACATTTTAGAATAATTACGATCAAAATTAATAACTACATAATGATATTACAGTACTGGCTTCATATTTGCTGTATAGTTCCTAATATTACAGCTTAATGCAATATACACTGACTGTATCAAAACCATAATGTGTCTTCAGAGCTGTATTTGTTGAACAACAGATAATAAACTGCAATTTACAGTGTGCAATATAGCAAAAAGAGATGAGTATACTCAGTGT